CCAATACCTTTTCCGAAATAGACATGTGCTATTCCAGTGGTACACACACCTCTCAGTACTTCTATGTACTTCTATGATGTCAGTGTTCACAAAAACAGGGAATTTAAAAATTTGAATACAATGTACACACAGTACAGAACAGACTTTTGGACTCTGTGGGAGAAGGCGAGGGTGGGATGTTTTGAGAGAACAGCATCAAAACATGTATATTATCTAGCGTGAAACAGATCACCAGCCCAGGTTGGATGCATGAGACAAGTGCTTGGGCCTGGTGCACTGGGAAGACCCAGAGGGATCGGGTGGAGAGGGAGGTGGGAGGGGGGATCGGGATGGGGAATACATGTAAATCCATGGCTGATTCATGTCANGCAGTGCCCAGGGTCTTAATTGTGGTGCCTTCTCTTCGGAACATGGGCTCCAGTCATGCAGACTCAGTAGCTGTGCTCTGTTGGCTTAGTTTTCCCTTGGTTATGTGGGATCTTCCTGGATCAGGGATCGAACCCCTGTCCTGTGCATCCACAGGCGGATTCTTAACCACTAGACCACCAGGCAAGTCCCATAAGTTCTGTGTCTTGAGGGTATTCAATCTTGTAGATTGCAAACAGCAAGGGCATCTGGTCAGGGTGCTCTCCCCATGACAAGGAAATGGTCTCTCCTTCAAACTACTAACACCTACTGCTCTTTGAAGCATGAGGGGCTGGAAGAAACATCTTTAGATGTTGTAAACAGTGACAGCTTCCTGCCTGAGCTGTCAATCTTCTTGTTTCTCCAAGCATTGCTTGGAGAATTCATAATACAGTTCATAATACTATGAATTGACCAAGGTGCTACTCAGCTTTGATTCCTAGTTATCCAATTCATTAAGAAGTATCTTCAGCTCAACTGCAGACATGTTGGTATTATCAGAATATACGTTTCCCTTACGTTGTGGCCCATGGCATCTTATACTTTCTCTCTATGAAGATCAGAAACTGGAACACAGTTCCTTTCCATGTAATGAATACAATGCTTTCTAGATTATCTTTCTTGACCAGATTACCTGTTCCCACTGCAGTTAAGATGATCCATTACCCTGTCCCCTACCCCATGTCCTTTCTCCCCCTCTCCCCTGGACACCTCTAGTAATCTCTATATACTCCTCCTCGGAATTGCCTCTGATAGAACACCTATCCTATTAAACGCATATGTCTCTGGAGAGTTAAATTTAATGTGCATTTTTGGGTGTTTGAAAATGCAAACTTTTGGTACAAACACACGTAACTTGACTATAAATTGAACCAATTTATTTAAACCCTCAGAAATCAAACACCACCAGACAAAATGTGATTAGTGACCAGCAGAGATGAGATAGGAAAGGGAGTGTGAGTGTGAAGAGAGAAGGATCATGTTAATCAGGAACCAGAGAAATCATCTTCACGTTGATCTTGGTTCCTTGGAAATGAGGATGTGTCTGGTCTCCATGATTATTTCTGTAGGTAAATAAAACAGGACCAAAAGTTTAGTTGATAAAGAAAGCTGAGCACTGAAGAATTGATGCTTTTGAGCTGTGGTGTTGGAGAAGACTCTTGAGAGTCCCTTGGACTACCAGGAGTTCCAACCAGCCCACCCTAAATGAAATCAGTCCTGAATATTCATTGGAAAGATTAATGCTGAAGCTGAAACTCCAATACTTTGGCCACCTGCTGCGAAGAAGTGACTCACTGGAAAAGACCCTGATTCTGGGAAAGATTGAAGGCAGGAGGAGAGGGGGATGATAGAGGATGAGATGGCTGGCTGACATCACCGACTCGATGGACATGAGTTTGGGTAACCTCCAGGAGATGGTGATGGACAGGGAAGCCTGGAGTGCTGCAGTTCATGGACATTCTGTGTCTGCAAAGAGTTGGACACAACCAAGTGAGTGAACTGAACTGAACTGAACTGAAAAGTTTAGTAGAGTCTCCTGTGTGATGGCTGATGTGGTGAACCTCAGGCAGTAGGTGGTCCAGGGTACTGAAGCTGGTAGGTGATCCAATGTCAGAATACTGGTGGAACTCACTACTCCACATCTCTGATGTAGATGGGGGTCCATGTGGAATTTTCCCCAGGATGTACATATGGGGTGACCTTTTATCTATATGATCCATTATAAGAGTAATGGTTTCAGAATGCACATTCAGGTTCTGTGATTAGAGTGCATTCCTCTAACTGTACAAGTTTCATCTTTAGGGTCTTCAAGAAATAGTTTTTAAAAATGTTTAATTCATATTGAAGTATAGTTGATTAACTAAGTTGCATTAGTTTCATATGTGGTTAGTTTATACATACATATACCTGTTCTTTTTCAGAATCTTTTCTCATGTAGGTTTTTAAAGAGTATTGCATATAGTTCTCTGTGCTATACTTTAGGACTTTTTGGTCTATCTATCTTGTATATTGTAGCTTGCACCTTCTAACTCCAAATACTTATTCCATCTTTTCTCCAGCCTTTCTCCCTTGGCAACCACAAATCTGTTATTTAGGTCTGTGACCCTGTTTCTGTTTTCTAAATAAGTTCCTCCATGTTATATTTTGGGTTTCCCTGACAACTCAGTTGGTAGAGAATATGCCTGCAATGCAGGTGACCTCAGTTTGATTCCTTGGTCAGGAACATACCCTGGAGAAGGTATAGGCTACCCAATCCAGAATTCCTGGACTCCCCTTGTGGCTCAGCTAGTAAAGAATCTGCCTGCAATGCTGGAGACCTAAGTTTGATCCCTGGGTTGGGGAGATGCCCTGGAGAAGGGGAAAGCTACCCACTCCAGTATTCTGGTCTGGAGAATTCCATGGACTACAGTCCATGTGGTCACAGGGAGTCAGACATGACTGAGAGATTTTCACATGTCATATTTTAGATTCCATGTATGTGTGATATCATGCGATATGTGTCTTTCCTTTTCTGACTTCACTCAGTTTGATCATCTCTAGGTCCATCCATGTGGCTGAAAATGCCATTAATTCTTGTTTATGACTGACTAACCTTCCATTGAATATATGTACCACATCTTTCTTATCATATTTGGCTGGAAGCTAGTGTTTGTCTTTGCTTTTTTCATTTCATTTCTTTCTCAACAGAAAATTAAAAGCCACACTTTATCCTAGATGTGTGTCATTTTCTGAGGCTGTCTTAGTTTAGAAAGTTTAAAGATTTCATTTTAAGAAAAGCATCTTGTGAAGGGGGTGGGTAGAACTCAAATGCATGTCTCAGACAGTGTGACTGGAAGACCTCTACCGATTCTGTCAGAATTACATGAGATTGGACACTTTTCTTGTAGTCAATGTGAGCACCCTTTAATCCTGTTTCTCTTAGAGGAGGGATATATGTGGACAACCACGAGGTCAGGACTGAGGAGAAAGCTAGTTAAGTTTCTGCCAACTTGTGGTCATTCCTCCTTCTCCCTGATGACCCTGCCCTGCACAATTCCTGCAGGATAAGGCTTTCTCATCAAAGCTGCTCAGGATGAATCAACCAACCAAGTGGCAATTTAACATAGCTTTAGAGAAGAGAAATTACCCACTGTGACAAAGATATTTCTCTAGTGATCAGATGTAAGTTGTGGAGTCAAAAATCATTGTTATCTACAAAATTTGGCAGATATGAAATCACCATGTGTCCTTATTTATTTATTTAATGGAACAGTATTAGTAAGAGACTATTTTCACTTACATTGACGTTTGTTCGGAACTTGTTGCCCAGAGTGAGGATGGCCTTCTGGGGAAAAATCAAATGGATAGGAAAGAAAGATCCACCAATTAGTACCATTCCACAGGATTTTCAAGACTGTTTTGTTTTGTTTCAAGTACCAGATTATATGAAATAATATTTATGGAGAAATAGATATCAAATAAATTGATTTGTTTCCTGAGAGTATATTTGCATATAAGGTGAATGATATACTTAGGAAAAAATAGAATTCCATTACCATTTTCGATGAAATTCACAACATTTTCCTCTTTTCTGACTTCACTCAGTTTGATCATCTCTAGGTCCATCCATGTGGCTGAAAATGCCATTAATTCTTGTTTATGACTGACTAACCTTCCATTGAATATATGTACCACATCTTTCTTATCATATTTGGCTGGAAGCTAGTGTTTGTCTTTGCTTTTTTCATTTCATTTCTTTCTCAACAGAAAATTAAAAGCCACACTTTATCCTAGATGTGTGTCATTTTCTGAGGCTGTCTTAGTTTAGAAAGTTTAAAGATTTCATTTTAAGAAAAGCATCTTGTGAAGGGGGTGGGTAGAACTCAAATGCATGTCTCAGACAGTGTGACTGGAAGACCTCTACCGATTCTGTCAGAATTACATGAGATTGGACACTTTTCTTGTAGTCAATGTGAGCACCCTTTAATCCTGTTTCTCTTAGAGGAGGGATATATGTGGACAACCACGAGGTCAGGACTGAGGAGAAAGCTAGTTAAGTTTCTGCCAACTTGTGGTCATTCCTCCTTCTCCCTGATGACCCTGCCCTGCACAATTCCTGCAGGATAAGGCTTTCTCATCAAAGCTGCTCAGGATGAATCAACCAACCAAGTGGCAATTTAACATAGCTTTAGAGAAGAGAAATTACCCACTGTGACAAAGATATTTCTCTAGTGATCAGATGTAAGTTGTGGAGTCAAAAATCATTGTTATCTACAAAATTTGGCAGATATGAAATCACCATGTGTCCTTATTTATTTATTTAATGGAACAGTATTAGTAAGAGACTATTTTCACTTACATTGACGTTTGTTCGGAACTTGTTGCCCAGAGTGAGGATGGCCTTCTGGGGAAAAATCAAATGGATAGGAAAGAAAGATCCACCAATTAGTACCATTCCACAGGATTTTCAAGACTGTTTTGTTTTGTTTCAAGTACCAGATTATATGAAATAATATTTATGGAGAAATAGATATCAAATAAATTGATTTGTTTCCTGAGAGTATATTTGCATATAAGGTGAATGATATACTTAGGAAAAAATAGAATTCCATTACCATTTTCGATGAAATTCACAACATTTTCCTCATCAATTCCTTTCTCTTTTGTCAGCTGCCTGAATTTCTCCAAGGCTTCTTCTTCAACATTCAATTTAACTGAAAAACACCACATAGAAGGCAGAATTTTGCCCCTCAGAACCCATTCTGAGTGCCGAACAAGAAGTGGAGTGTCCAAGTCAGATCTTCACTTGATATAAATTAATTCTCAAACAGTTACCATTTCGTGACTCAGATGTCTGCTGCCTGTCTGAAGAACTAAGCCCCATCCAACTCTGTAACTAGAGCCACACCCCAGCATCAGCAGGAGGATCCCAAAGACTCGCAGGAATTCCATGGATCTGGGGGCTTCATCCATCACAGTATGGAACTGACCTGCTTGCTGACCAACTTCTGAGTATCTGTACCTGCCACTCAGGTCTTGTTCTGACCCAAATAAAAAGCAAGCAGAGTTCTCCCCTGATAGACATGCACTCACCTTATCACACATGAAAATGGGAGATGATTTGTCCTTTAATTAACCCACTATTCTGCTCAGAATCTTTCCTTAACCAGACATATGTTGTTCCAATGGTGTACACTTCTCTCAGTGCTTCTGTGTAGGTATTTGGGCTTATGTCAGTGTTCATAATAGCAGAACATTTGAAAAATTGCACAGGAGAAAGATTAAAAATAAAAGTTTCTGTTCCAAGTCTTAGAGTCAATTGAGAAACTGGTATAAACTCAACAAATGAGAGTCATTTCCTTATAGCCATATCTTGAAATTAATTAAAATGTTAAAGAAAAAACTAGAAACCAACACAATAATTTTCCTTCAATGAAAAATTTAAACAAGAAACTATTTCCAGTAAAGCTCATTTGTTATTTTTGAATTCAGCAAATGGGAATTATTTAGAAATATCTGATGATATGATCTCCTCAAACCGTATGAGCTCCTCTTTCTTGGTAGATTTTGTTCCAGGGTCCTTATCTCCATGAACAAAAAGATCTAGGTTCTGTGGGCTGCATAATAGACATCATCACCACTCAATGATTTTATGGATAACAGCACTGACAATGGAAGAGCTACATGACAATGACAATGTGAAGAGGAGCACGTCATGCATACCGAATAGTCCGGTCAATTCTGTCCTCTTGCCGTCTTCATCCACGTTGATGTTATGTGCTACCAGATGCGTTTTCGACCCAGAGATAACTTTAAATTCATTTTGACCCTCATCTGTGAGAGAGAGAACAGGCATATATATGACTCCACCTTAATCTATTTTCAGTTAGATTCTTCATGGCAAATTGGGAGTAATAGCGATAGTACGTCCTATACTGATGTGTGTCTCACTCCGTAGGTTGGCTGAATCCTACAGCTTCTATGTCAGCAAGGAGGGTAGGGGCAGTCGAGACTTTTCCTTATTCACACCTTCTCATACAACTAACCTGTCACTCTTGGTCCTCTTCCTCAGGTGTCTTCTGCGACATGTGCTCTAATGAACCCAAGGGGATTTTTTTTTTTTTTAAACAGGAATGTCTTATCAAATCCAAGATCCAAAATTATTTGTATCTCTGTTATTCCAGCCAGGAGCTGATTTTCTTTAGGGCCAAAGTCAACTTACCATTTCAGAGAGTAGCATTGACAGGTATACACTACTCTGTGTAATACAGACAGCTAGCGGGAAGCTGCCGGATAGCACAGGGAGCTCAACTTGATGCTCTGTGATGACCTTGAGGAGTGGGATGGGGAAGGGAAGGGAGGCTCAAGGCGAAAGAGATATATGTACACATATACCCGATTGATGTACAGCAGAAAGTAACATAGCATTGTAAAGCAACTATCCTCCAATTAAAAGCAAATTTGTATTTATTTTATTTATTTATTTTATTTATTTCAATTGGAGGCTACTTACTTTACAATACTGTAGTGGTTTCGCCGTACATTGACATGAATCAGCCATGGGTGTCCATGTAATACATCCTGAGCCCCCCCCCACCTCCCTCCCCATCCCATCCCTCTGGGTATCGTCCCAGCACACCAGACCTGAGCACCCTCTCTCATGCAACGAACCTGGACTGGTGGTCTGTTTAAAAGTAAATTTAAAAAAAAAAAAAAAAGAAATTTGGCACCATTTGAGATGTTTTATAGAGCTGCTACTTAAATAATTAATATGCAATTAAAATTACAATTATCACATTTTAAAAATAGTTAATGAAAGAAAAAAAATGTGTTCTTGAGTGCCTAGACTGTGCCAGACAACTTTAGGAACACTTCACATTAGTTATTGTGCTTCGTCTGCCCCTCAATTTGGGGTATGACATGTCTGTTGGTGTGAAGACAGTGCACCTTCTGGGAAGTGCGGGCAGTGAGCTCCGTCCCCACCTGGACCCCTGCCCCTCCTCTCTGCCCTGCCCGTCCACTCTGCCCCATGCGTCTGGACAAGAAGCAGCTCTGACCTACTGCGTGTCACCTCTACACCGTCTACGTCCATTCTGTCTCTCCTGGCTTCCATCACACCTAATAGTAATCACTAAGAAAGACAGGAGGTAAAACCACCCATCTGCGTACCTGAAACATGCCCACACCATCGTTCAGTGTCTGAAACACTGGAAATTATTAGTGTGATGGAGAAGGAGAAAAAATAGTGGCCAAAGCAGCCTCAGAGTCTCACAGCCCCTAGATGTTACATGCAATGTGCCCAAGCCTACCATGAGTCTAGAGCCTGGGGTCATGTTGGGACAACTGAAGTCAGATTATGCAGGTGGTGAGATGATCAGCGACCACCTGTGGCTCACCATGACTTCAGCAAGATGGGCATTGCAGCTTCACTGGATTGGCTGTGACGTTAATAAAGGCGAGGGGACAGTGAGAGCAAACCTATCTTATTAAGCCTATCTGATCTTATCCTATCAAGGCCACTACTCGTGCTAGGCTTGATGTGGGCACTCCTCACAGTCCCCAAAATGCACTTGGGGGGTAGCACTTGCTGGTCCCCAAGAGACCTTATAAGAAGGGGTTATAATCTATCTCTTCCTTCTTCAGTCACACTGTAAAAACTGCAGCTAAAAAGGATTGCAAAACTGGAGAAAAGTAAAGGCAGCAGAAGCACTGAGATTTAGCCAAAGGAAAAAATAATATCAGAATAAGAAAATGACAGCATAATTTAAAAGTTGTCAAATATTAAAAGCCATCCAGGAAAGTTTTCAGGCATAAATGTCACTGATTTGTGTTCATTGTATAAGCATTGTGCCAGAGTTTCATTTAGGCATGGGGTTGTCATCCCATGCTGGTACATTTACATTGTAGTCAGATATGTGCCCCTTAGGACATTTAAAATTAGGAAGGTAGTTTAGGGCCATTATAAAGAACTTAAAAATTTTAGCCAGCATCCCTAGTACTTTGACCAACAGCTTCCTTTATGGTTGAACTCAAGATGATTTCCTTGGGTTCAAGTTCATCCTCTGTACCTTGGATGGATTAAGACATTTTAAACTGTTTGAGAAAAGTGACTGACACTGATGTGCAGACTCAAGATAGACCCCTTGAGACATCAACTCCTAAGGCTGTTGTAGACTGTCTGAGAACCGTGTGAAATACAGGTCTAAACATGTTATTCTCGGGGGCTAACACTCCTGATTGGGAGGGGACTTCCAAGTCATGTGTTTGAATCGTTGTCTCACGACAAAGTGAAGTGCTTGGGTATCCTAAGGACTGGAGCCTGCTCACCCCTTTAATTGTTAGTAGGAGTAGAATTCAGGTGTACGGGGTTACTGAAGGAAGTTGTGCCAAGATTTCTACCCAAAGGTACTCTGACCAGTGAAGTAGTCACACTTACATTCAACAGCAAAAGTGCCATCATCTTGCTTTATTCCCGTGACATGTATGTTCTTCCATTTTCCATTCCGCCTTAAAAACAAAATATATACAAGGTGGTTGAAGTAACAAAAAAAGTAGACGCATGCTTAGAATTTTCTTCGTTTTATCCCCGCTGGGTAATCTTGTCACCCAAGTTGTAAGAGAGGAGACAATAAGCAGATCCGTCATTAACCTGCGGCTCAGTGGGTAGACAGCTAACGTTGAGGAAAAGGAGAGTTTGCGCAGAGATGGAGAAACTGTGTATCTGTGCAGTGGAGTTCACAAAAAAGATGTGCGCCTGTCAAAACACATTGAACTATGCCCTCCACAAAAGGAAAAATTAGTTGCTCAGTCACATCTGATGCTTTGCAATCCCATGGACCATAGCCCACCAGGCTCCTCTGTCCATGGGATTCTCCAGGCAAGAATACCGGAGTGGGTTGCCATTTCCTTCTCAAGAGGATCTCCCTGACCCAAGGATCAAACTCAGTTCTCTTGCATTGCAGGCAAATTCTTTACCATCTCAGCCACCAGGGAAGCCCTATGCCTTCTACAAAGATGCACATAGTAATTGCTCATTATTATAGGAGGCGCGAGTGGTAAAGAACCCATTTGCCAATGCAGGAGACATAAGACATACAGGTTCAATCCATGGATTGGCAAGATGCCCAGGAGGAGGGCATGGCAATACACTCCAGTATTCTTGCCTGGAGAATCCCCATGGACAGAGGGCCCTGGTGGTCTACAGGCCATAGGTTTGCAAACAGTCAGACTCTACTGAAAGGACTTAGCAAGCCACATGCTCACTTCAATAAAGTTGATTTCAGAAAGATTAGCCATATGAAAATTCAAAAGTGTGTTTGTGTGTGTGTGTGACAGTTGCTCAGTTGTGTCTGATTTTTTACATATGTGTTTTCCTTCTTGGTTATTTTTACTTACTTGACATAAAAGTAGAAGTCTACGGTGCCTTTTTCATCATCAAACACGAGTTTACGGAAGTAAGTCCTGAATGGTCCATTCTCCTGGATTTTCTCTGGGTTAGTGGATCCAATGTACACTGTTCTCCATTGTCCTGAAAGCTGAAAGCAAAATTCCCCTTAGAAAGTGTAGTCCTTATCTTTTTATTTCATCCAGCATCATCAGTCATGTGTTTCCCACCCCCAGTGCAAGTCAGCACACATTATCTACCTTAACTGGACAAAGCAGGATTTATGAAATAATGCAAAACTGAGTCAGAGTAAAAGAGGGAATTGAGGCATTTCTGAGATCGCTTGAGGCCTCATGTCAAATACAACAATCTCAAAATCAACAGCTGTTTGGCTGATCCTCTTTTTCTGTTACAAGACTAGTAAAAATGCATGAGGGTCAATTAACACACAGTAGAGGTGATACAGAGACCAAACGGAGCAGGTCTAGATTCAGTTAACGGAGCAGTATTGAGTCGAAGGGAGACGGATCAGCTCGTGGGTCCACGTATCAAAACTACAAAACGGACACACACGCACACACCCGCACACCTAAGGCCTCCTCCCAGATCAGACCGTCCCTGGTACCTCTGAAAGGCTTTGTTCAGCTTTGTCCTCTTGTGCAGCTCAAACCACAGCAAGGAGAAGGGTCAGGAAGAGGACCTTCATCTTGTCTCTCACGGTCCTTCGTCTGTCGAGACTGAATATGTCCCAGTGGTTGGAGAGGATGGTAATTCTGCCACTTTTTATAGGATCATCATGTTGCTATGACGTGTCACAAACCAATGGTTGTTCCCCCTAAGCCCAAGGTTACACAGAAGTCATCTTCAGCATCCTGCTTGGCAGGGATCAGCTGCCATATCATTTTGTTATCTTTATCATGAGGGTTGTTTTAAGAGCTTAAGAGGATCTGGACATGTGACATCTAGAATGACTGAGATATCACAATACACTCTGATATTTCAAGACCAGGAATATTTATTTGCCTTTGTATCCTGAGGTAAAGCTGGGATAAGCTGTCCAAGGTACATATCTCCAGCTCCTGTATTGTTTCCTTAACATTTAGGAGATAGCCTAAAATTTATTTTCGAAAGTTAAGTTGAGTGAGTGATTTAACAAAGTTAAAAATATTTCTGAAGAGACCTTTGGAAAACCTCCTGTTTCTCTGAGAGGGGGAACACGTCAGCACAAAGTGTTTACAACCTCTTCCTGCCCCACAGCATGCTCTGTCCTCCTTATAGCTAAGAGGGAGTTCCATCCAAATGCCCCTTACCCTCGTGTCTGAAAAAGGCATGTCGGCGATTCTGTCCATCTCTCCCCTTCAAGACATCCTTTATCCATCTAATATGTGATATATCATTTACTCATTGCCTCAATTGTTTCTAAGGAAGCAACAAAGCAGGATTGTATTTCTTTAAACTTGTAGAATTTAAAAGAAAAAAGGAAATTTCCTAACTCTATACATCTATTTACTATCAAGGTCACTCAAACAGCCTAAGAATCTCTACTTTGCTTTTTTTTTTTTTTCTCAACCAGGGATCTTAGTTCCCCAACCAGGGGTGAAATCATATCTCATGTAGTGGATGTGTTCAGTCTTAACCCTTGGACCACCAGGGTCATCCTGATTCAGGTCATTTTAACAGAAGTATGATCCCAGCTCACACCTCTTATCCACCCATCATCACCCTTCCGTCTCTCCTTAGGCACATCCAACATTCTCAGGTTTTCCTTTCAGATTCTTACCAACACGTGTCACCTGGGAGTGTGTTCTCAGACCAACCCATTTCAGGAAGACCTTTCTAACTGCCAATCAAGAGGGGATTAAACACAATTTCTCCAAGAGTTTATTACAACAGATTTAAGCAATCCCGTATGTTTGTAACTAAAGGAATTCATAGAATCTTTAATCCAAAGTCCCCTTCATAAATATTGACCAGAAATGTACATAACAAATTGATAAATAAAGAAGAATCACCTTACTCAAACAATAATCTTGTAATCCCCCAACAAATAATGATAAACCATGTTTGGTACATCTTCCTGATGTCTCCTCCAATCCTCCAGCTTTCTGGAACTACAAAGCCTCTCTTTCCCTGTTTATTCATTTTGTCTTACTTTCCTTTTTCTCTGTGATCACTGTTTTTATGTCTTAGATTATGCAACTCCTATCTAAACAACACAAGGAAACTTGTGACCTTNTTAGAGATGAAACAGGATCCTAAACAGCCTATAATATGCAGGACAGCACCTGACAGAGAATTGTCCCATCACATGTCCATCACAGAGAGGCTGAGAAATCCTGAATCACCTGAGGTACTCTGCTGCTCTGACCCAGAATGAAGCCTCAGTCCTCATGGGAACATGTAGATTTCTACAGGACATGGTTCTCCATCCAGTGTGACAGCCCCACACCCCCTTACTCTTTCTTCTTCCCCACTTTATCATCCTCTGTTCTTTTTTAATCAGTCTTCAACTACTGATGAGCAACTTCAACATCATCATGGCCTTTGCGCTTTAGTGTTGGTTCAGTCCCCATTGCTAGAGCTGGTGAATGAATAAGTCAGGGTGTTTCTTTGGGGATTTTGGCTCGTGATGGGCAAATGTGGACCACCATGTGTATATATATATAAGGGGCATTTCTTAGTCAAAACAAAGACCAAAGGATGTGTTAAGGACTGGAATCCAGAACCATTGTCCAAGGGTCATTAGATGTATGGGCATAGGGTAGAAAAGGTTGTATTCAGCAGTATCCAGTGGACAAGGAAGAAGGCTCTAGAAGGCCAAGGGGCACTGGCCCAGGTGTGTCTAGAAGTCACCCAGCACCTTTACTCTGCCACTGTTTGTCCTGAGAACTGTGATGTCAGGGAAAGATGTCAGGGTTCAGTAAGACAAACAGGAATGTACAAAGACGTCAGGAAGACACACATATTGTTCTCATGGGAGTCCCCACCTAGAAGAAGGGTGACACATAGCAGGGACTCCTGTAAATAGTTACCCAAGTTGTACAATTTCCGCAAGCTTCCAAAGGTGCCGTCTTAGTCTGACTCAGGAAAGACTGACCCTTCTTCCACTAAATGTCAGGGAAACACTTTGAGGTGTGCGCAGCCCAAGCAAATGACAGATAACACGCAATGTGAGCAGAGGGAGTAACATCTATACTTAAAGTCAAGTTTCCGAGCTATACATCTTCACCACGTTCTTTGAGCTTGTATTTGCCATTGAAAATCTCTCGAAGCTCTCCAGCTGGAGAGAAACAGAGAGACGTGAAAAGAAGCAAAAGTCATTTGTCCATGACCTTCCTAATACTTGGGAAAACTTTTAGGATTGCAGGTTGATGTGGACAGGACCAAATTTTCTACAGATATCAGAGAGGACAGGTCCCATAGAGAAAGGTAGCATTGTTTCTCACCACTGTGCACCTTTGTTTTTATGTTTCCATACTGGTATTTATTAATCAGTATCTGTTTTCTTTTCATCACACATGTTAGTCTGGCTGAATGGCACATATTAATTCTGTTCTGGGTATTTCAGTCAGTCTGTCTGTTGACCTTGCCCTTGATAAAAGTCTGCTATTATTAAGATCATTTGTATAGGAATTGTGAAGTTTCATTGTCCACGGAATGTCTCAATTTCTCCTTTATCAGACAGGAACAGGCTAGAGCATAATTTCAGTAGAGTGTGCTGTAAACATTTACCTACATGTGCTCATAAAGAATGCATGTTCTGTACATTCCTCCTGTCCATCCTTTGGCATAAATTCAGTAAATATAGATTCAATGCCAAAAAGAGACCAAGCCTCAGGATTCAGCAGAAAGCAGATAGACTCAGTAATTCACCCAATGGGCTCTCTTCCTGTGAAAGCAGACAGATACACACTAATAGCAGCTAACAGATGATTGCCAGTTTTGTTGTTGTTCAGCAGCTCAGTGGTGTCTGACTCTTTGTGACCCCATGTACTGCAGAACACCAGGATTCCCTGTCCTTCACCATTTCCCAGAGCTTGCTCAAATTCATGTCCATTGAGTTGGTGATGCCATCCAACCATATCATCCTGTGTTTTCCCCTTCTCCTCCTGCCTCCAATCTTTTTCAGCATCCCAGTCATTTCCAATGAATCAGTTCTTCCCATTGGGTAGCCAAAGTATTGGAGTTTCAGCTTCAGCATCAGTCTTTCCAATGAATATTCAGGGTTGATTCTCTTTAGGATGGACTGGTTGGATCTCCTTGCAGTCCAAGGGACTCTCAAGAGTCTTCTCCAACACCACAGTTAGAAAGCATCAGTTCTTCAGCACTCAGTCTTCTTTATGGTCCAACTCTCACATCCATATGTGAGTACTGGGAAGACCATAGCTTTGACTATATGGACTTTGCTGGCAAAGTTATCTCTCTGCTTTTTAATGTGCTTTCTAAGTTTCTCATAGCTTTTCTTCCAGTGTGCAAGTATCTTTTAATATCATGGGTGTAGTCACCATTCTCAGTGATTTTGTAGCCCAAGAAAATAAGGTTTTTACTATTTCTATTGTTTCCCCATCTATATGCCATGAAGTGATGTAATCAAGATGCCATGATCTTAGTTTTCTGAATGTTGAGTTTTGAATCAGCTTTTTCACTCCCCTCTCCCTCTTTATATGTTGTAGGATGAAGAATACAGAAAGGTGAGAACTAGAGTGTGTTTGGTCCTATTTCAGGGGAAAGGAATATTTCCATAGAGATGGTTTTCAGTGATGCTCTGAGGATAGTTGGATGAAGTGTGAATCTGTGAGAAGAACAAAATATGACTTGAGATAAGAAAGTACAGATGTGTTTTGAAAAATCCCCTTGGTTGGTTTATCTATCAAAATTCTACAAGTACATTCACTCTTTTTTTATTAAGATTTTTTTAAAATGTGGACCCCTTTTACAGTCTTTATTGAATTTATTACAATATTGTTTCTATTTCATGTTTTTTGTTTTTAACATGATACATGTAAGGTCTTAGCTCCCAATCAGTGTTGGGACCTGGAGCCTATTTATTGGACGGTGAAGTTCTAACCACTGGACCCACAGGTAAGTTTCTAGAAGTGCATTCACTTTGAAGAGGCATTTTATTAAAAGAAATTATGAAACCATGGATACATACAAAAACCATTAACTGGTTTGTTGCTTGTGGTGGTAAATCATTTAGAAATAAATTTTATGGTCTAGTAGCTATGAAATATCCATAGGGAAAAATATAAGAAATGGGATTCATACATTAGATCTCTATGAATCCACGGAATCTATAAAAAATATTTGTTTTTGAAATAAACAGAAATATGACTGTTTTTATATTTTAATTCTCATGTATGTGTGAAACAAAGACATCTTTCCAGTAGGTTAGTATGTTTGTGCATTAATGAAAAAAATATTTATATGTGTACAGAGTTGTTAGAAATTTTTCTTTAACCATTGCTCTGTTGGTGAACATTTAGGTCACTTCCATGCCCTGGCTATTGTACATACTCCTGATGTACATTGGTATGCATGTACATCTTGAAATTATGGTTTTCTCTGCATATATATGTTTTAATGAAAACTTTCAGAAGTACCTAATTCTGTCTAGGGGATTAAGGATCAAATTTGAGTGGGAAGTACTTTAGTTTTAACTCATATGATCATGTGGATGGCTTTGTCTGAGTCTAGTGATATTTCTTCTTTACCTCTTGGAAATTTTTCAATTAAATCTTCTGGCCCTGCAGATTTCTAGAACATTGTGCTCAGTTTCTCTAATAGATAAAGGACATTCAAAAGTTTCTGTTTCATTGCATTTTAATTTTAGTAACATATCTTTGAGGTAATGTGTAAATTTCATATTGAGTGCTAATTTGAATAGCAGCATCTGTTTATAGTTTTGTCATGTTTTTTGTCTTCTGGATTTGTGGTGATAATCCTTTTTCTTTGTAATATTTATCACAAGTTCATACAGTTAAACACACACACATATATATACATAAACATTAATGCATATGTAGTTATATGATGTTTAAGAATATTTTGATTTGTTTATGCAAGGCAGTGCTTTTCAACATTTCTTAAGATTAACCCTGACACTCTGTATTTGGTAGCCTATCTGAGTATCTGAGGAGATACCCCATGTCCAAGGGCAAAGGAGAAGCCCCAACAAGATGGTAGGAGGGGCAAATTCGTGTTTAGAATCAAACCCCATTCCCTCCAGAGATGCTCAGAGGACTCAAACTTTGTGGGCACGAGGTCCCAGGAAGCCCAAGAGACTGAGACAGACTGTGTTTGAGCATCTCCTCTGGAGATACCAGTCAGCAGTGGTCTGCCGCAGGGACAGGGGCTCTGGGTGCAGCAGACTTGGGTATGGCATAAGTTCTCTTGGAGGAGGTCACAGTTGACCCCACAGTAGAGCTGCGATAACATAACAAGACTGAGAAATAGTCTTTTGGAGGGCACAACAGAATCTTGTGCAAAAGGACCGAGGAAAAAGGAGCAGTGACCCCACAGTAGACTGTTGCAGATTTGCCTCTGGGTGTCCAGGAGTCTCTGGCTGAGGCATGGGCTGGGGGAGGCCTGCTGCAGGACTGGGGGCTCTGGGTGTAGCAGAACATGAGTGGGATGTTTTGAAGGAGGTCGCCGTTAAATTTATTACCTCCACCACAGTTTCAGTCCCATTCAATCGCTCAGTCGTGTCCAACTCCTTGCGACCCCATGAATCGCAGCACTCCAGGCCTCCCTGCCCATCATCAACTCCCAGAGTTTACTCAAATTCATGTCCATTGAGTCGGTGATGCCATCCAGCCATCTCATCCCATGCCGTCCCCTTCTCCTGCTGCCCCCAATCCCTCCCAGCATCAGGGTCTTTTCCAATGAGTCAGTTCTTCACACAAGGTGGCCAAAGTACTGGAGGTTCAGCTTCAGCATCAGTCCTTCCAATGAACCCCTAGGGCTGATCTCCTTTAGGATAGATTGGT